GGAGGTGCAGAAGAACTGGAGGCCGCCCATGTCAGCCGCACCTGGACAGACCTGGGCCTACCTGAGTAGCAACTTCCGTGCCAAGGCAGCAACTTAAAGCTGTTGTCACTTGGCGGCATCCCAACTGTGGACACATTCCCACCGAAGTCTGAGAAAAGTCGCGTTCCTTGGAGGAACGCCTCCAGGATTAATGACTAACTAAACTATGTGTCAGTGGATCTTGAAATAGCCTTGCGCCAGCTTCCCCTGGCACAACAGCGCGTTTGGATGTGTGTAGCAAATCGAAGGCCAAACGTTGATATCCCATGCCGCTGTGCATCTGGCGTCTAAACTCGGCCTAACCGCAAAAAAAGGGGCGATGAATTTCTCGTCCCATAAGTTGAACCAAATCTAAGCAGATTGGGTCCAAACAGTGGTCAATGCAATAGTGTCGGTGCTCCGATTTGCCACCCTGAACCACAGCGCCTTCGATCTCCACACCTCGCTTGCCGCCCTCCTTGAGAACCTACGGGTTGCAGGTCCATGTCCCAATCTGAGTAAGGCCAGTGTCGGCCGCCTTCTTCAACTTGGCCTTCTTCTGCTTCTCAATCTCTTCCGGACTGAGCTCCGCAGCAGCCGCTTTCTCCTGGAATCGCATTGCCCCTCAATGCTCCCAAGCCTTGCACGGCCCTGCGTGGCTCTCTGGGTTCACACATATTGCCCGGCACTGAGAGCTGGTTTGTTGGATCGATGCTCCGATGGTCACCGGCGCTCACACATCCCAAACGAATCACGAAGGTTCCGCCATCCCGCCTCGGTCTTCGCGCCCTTGTCCTGCACAACAGCCACGCCGAGTGACATGCAATGCACGGTGTGAAGTGACAGAGCCTTGCCCGGCCTTCTTCTTATCACCCTTCTCCTTTGGAGCCGCATCCTTCTTGGGAGTAGCCTCCTTCTTAGCAGCCTTCTTGGGCGCCGCCTTCGCCTCCGCCTTCTCACCCTTGGCCTTGCCCTCCTTGCCCTCCTTGGCCTCCTTGCCACCCTGGCCCTGGCTCCGTTTCTGCGGTCAAACCGGCGAGTTGTCTTCTGCTTTACCAGGAACAGTGTCACAGAGGCATCAAAGCACGGGAAAGGACGCCCACGAGACTGGTCCACGCCTCACATCTCTCGCTGCCTTACCTAGCAAAACCTGTAGCTTGATGCCAACTGCGGGCCGGAAGTGGAGAATGCACGCTCATCCCTCAAGCCACCAGCTGCCCTTTCGGCCCCGGTGCATCGCCTCGGGAACAGCCACCTTCCCCAGGACCTTTGCGAATTCCGGCTGGCTCACACCTCATGGCGAGCTCTCCGGATTGGCCCAGAAATGCATGTGAAAGAGACTCTTGCGTTCAAGACTGAGCTGCGACTTGCAAGACTGGCATGCATGCCTCATGCCCATTCTGGCATCGTTTATCTCTAAGCCGGCAGCAAAGCTTGAACCAGCGCATGAGATTCTGGCAGGCAGTTTGTAAAAATGGCAATGCGCCCAACATTCTTCAACGCTTGGCGTACTTGCATGGGAACACGTGCCAGGCAGGCCGGGAAGGGCTTGAGGAACTTGCCATCAAAAACCTCGCAGAGAATGCCCCAATGGTGCGAAGTAGCTTTTCCATCTCCAAGGCTTTTTGTATTTTAAGTGAATGTTTTTGGACCGTACTTGGGATGCATGGTGCAATTTGACCGCTCATGCCCTCTACATACTAAGCCTCTTGCGATGCTCAAAGTCACGGAGGATGGCAGTGCCAGTGCGCGATTTGCACTAGGCGCCACGCATGGCGCATGGCATCGATCAATGCGCAGCAAACCTCAATTCCGCCGTGTGGCCGTAGCAGGCAGCGATGCCACTGTTCAAATCTTAGTATCTGGGAGGTTGCATTCCCATTTTTTGCCGAAAGCCATGTTGTTTCCTTAAAGTGGAGAGGAGAGGGTGGTGCACCCGGATCGCTGTCATCAAGCCAAACAAGTCGTGGCATAAAGCATTCAAGCCACCGGGCAAGACAAGTGAGGCCATGTGGGAATGTGTCAAACACCTCTTGGACCCCTTCAAAAGGCTGGTTGAATGTTATTGTTTGTTGAATTGGGTACAAAGTGAATTCTCGTTTTTTGTCAGACGCGCACTCACTCGCATGAGTCGACATGAATGTGCAGGCAACCTCTTGAAGCAAAACCGAAACAGAAACAGAATCCCGACAGCGGATCCCAAACTCGAAGGAGTTTCGGCATCCCCGTGCAAAGCCCCTCAGCGTCAATTGCTGATGAGCAGAGGCGCAGGATGCCGCCCGAACCCTTTGAAACAGGATTTGCGCACACACCCACACACACACACACAAGTGCAGGCGACGGATTGCCCTATGTCCAAAAGCCGCTCAGCTGAAGGAGAGCACGGTTTGAAGAGGAGACATGCAAATTTGAAAGGGTCGGTTCAAGCCCCAATCTCTAAGGCAGCGGCCGAAATGTCCGCGAGCGTGATGCTGTTGCCGACCTGCGTGGGTCAGGGAAAATCGCGGACTCCTTCTGAAAGCACGCCGCTGTTGCTTCAGCTGGGGCCTGTGGAAAACTTCTACGATGAATATTGAAGACTCTTGTGGGGGTGGTACGAAGACTGCATTACCAAACCCCCACGAACCACTCTTGGCCATAGTCTCCATCCGTGAGGCGCGCAGCGCTCAGTGACTGCCAGGGCTGCACACCAAGCCTTTAGAGCTTTGGCAGGGTCCTTCGGTTTGAAATGTTTCATGAGTGTGCCTTAAAAAGGGACCTCCTCTTCTTGGATGGTTTTCAGGGCCAAACAAAATCAAACCACTCATTTTGAGCTGGCCCTATTTTCAGAAACACCCCCCTTCCCATTCTGGGCGGCGCCCCCTTTTCCTGGTCGGCGCCAAGTCACCTCGTGACGGTTGGGAGGGACGGCAAAGCCTTACTGACCGGTGGCAAGTGGCAAATGAACCGAGCTAGCGCACGGACTCAAGTCGGCACAGCCTTAGACTGGCTGGCCTCCCCTTAAAATCAACAGGGGGATGAGCATGGTCTACTTAGAACGGCGCTAGAAGTTTAACACAAAGCGAGAAATCGAAAATGCTCATGCCGATGGCTGCTGGGCTCACGCACGAAAAGAACGAAAGACTGCCACTCGCACAGAGACCCCGGAAAAATTGCGGAGCAGTCACTTTGTCACATGCTGGTGAGACTTGCTGCTTTTAACAGCTTCAAACACTTCCGTCCAAAAAGTTCAGGCTATACGCTTGCCACGCACTGTAAAAAGTTCCAGCGGAAAAATTCCAAGTGGCGCCTTGCGGCCATCCCCAGACCTGCTTCGCCTGGGCGCCATGCGCCTCCGCACGGTGTGCGCTCAGCAGTCCGTGCGCTCAACCACCAGCTTGGCGGTCGGCAGCTGTCATGGGCGCCTGAACATGGTGACGCCAGCGACGCCAGCTCAAGCTGGAACCCGCCCTGGAATTTCAATTCTCCCAGACAGAATGACCAGACCAAGCCAGCCCAGCATACCTATCATGCTGACTTAATGAGCAGTGTTGAAATGTGCTTGCCACATTGCTCGAGGATGAGTCGGAAAGTAAGGTCACGTGATTCGCCTCCAAGCAAGCACATTAACTTGTCCGATCCTAATCAAGAGAGTCCCGCATGCTCCTTTGAGTCCTTGTGCAACTTGTGTCTGGTCGTACTGACATGGCTTGTTCACCTAAGCGTGATTTGGCTAAATATAGTGACTTGCGAACTGCTTTCGTTCCTCAATGTGTTTGAGCGAGAGACAGAGAGAGAAGTCAAAAACAAATTAGCAGGAAGTTGAGATAAGCTATAAATAAGCTTCTGCCTCCTGGCTTCTGCTTGCATGACATTCTGATCTGCCCCTGAATGATCCTGAATGAAGCTAAACAAACACACACTCTGAATTCTTGCAGACCAGGATAGGTCCCCCTTCTTGGTACGATCAGTTGTGCTGGGAGCGGCTCGACCACTGACTCGGACTATTGTCGACTAAAGGTAAGGAGAGCTTGACTTCAACTAAAAGCGCGGCGCAAGCCTAAGTTGGCAGTATGTGCGGGCCAGGCTACTTTGGGTAAAGTTGCTAGTTCTACTGAAGATGGCCAGAATGTTCGCAGCCTACGCTGATCTCTTGTAGCAGTACTAGCGAGGGTAACCACCTGGCCACATTCGGCCATGCAAGCGTGTTGATGAAGGCCTTTGAGCGATGAAGGGGCTTCCTCGCCGGCCCGAGCCAAAGTAAAAGAGTTGACTCCAAGGCAAACATGTGGCTGAATGTCTGCGTCAGTTCCCACAAAAGGATATCATGGATCACTCTGGAGAGTTGGCGGAAAACTTGTGACGGCTTCCTGGAGCTGCCAACAAGCTCAAAAGCCTGCAGAGCGTATCTCATACAGCCCGCAGACCCAGCCTCATCGGGCACAAAGACCTTCTGAACCTCAGCGGAAGCATGTGGAAGGATAGATGCAGGTTGCCCAGATCCTATGCATGTTCTCCTCGATTCCCACACTCTGTAAGGGATCTCTGTCTGCATCGGCCAAACCAGAAATCCAACTTGGGCAAAGCAAAGACTCGACACATCAAGGCATGTGGAACTTGCTGCAGCACTGCACCTGTACAATCCGCAGTCAGGTTCTTGTGGTGGCCCGAACTCCTCTTGCCATGCTTGTCGTGGTTCCCTAATTCGCCTTGTTACTCGTGCCTTTTCCCCAACAGTTTGGGCAATGCCCGTACCCATTTAAGCCTTGAGCCCTGCGAAACCAGACTCCTGCCTCTTCCAGATTCATCTCGGGCAGGTCATCATCATCCGGCTCGTTCTTCTTCTTCCTCAATATCGGATCTGTCTGATTGTACAAGTTTTCCCCATTGTCCTTTTCCACCTAGGCATTGTTCGGCAGCTGGGAGGATGCAAACGCGCGCTTTTGGGCTGAGGAAGCCTAAAAGGTGCTGGCAAAGGATTGAATATGGTCGGGGAGTCAGCCAGGCGTGGCTCTCATTAGATGTTGGGGTGCCACAAATGATCTGCCAGTGCGATAGGGCACTTTGCTACAGGAATCGAGAACCACACAGAGAGATCTATTTCAACAAAGACGGCTTATCCTTTCGGAGCACAATCCGTGGGTCAAGGAATTCGATGCATGAAAATCCCAGTTGTGCCAAATGCCTGAACTGAACCTCTGCTATCTAGGGCAGCGGCGGATGCGAGATGCGAATCCTGGCTCGCACAAGTTGTGTGATGAATCTCGTGGCCGACATACAAACGTGGTGTTAAACACTCGAATCATAAACTGTATATGGCCATGGGTCAGTACTCAGTGCGCCCGACTGCATGGCCTAAACAAGAGAACGAGGAATAGTCGAACTCAACTTTGGCCACCCTGGACTCTTGGGATCGCAAAAGCCGCAAGACCTTTATGGGGCTTCTCAGAGTTTGCAGAAAGGAACATGGTTTTGATTCTGCATGCTATGAAACACAACAACCTCTTGCCAGCGCAATTGCTGACCGCATACCCAACCGGCAACTGGCGGCTGTAACGTTGTCCTCGTCTCAGGGTACGAATCCACTGCACAAAGACATTCAAAGCCCCAAACGCGTGCAGGTCCAGAATCCCCAGAATCCTCCGAATCAAATCAGGTCTGGCCAAGTTGTCTACACCCCCACTACCCAAACCATCCCAAACCAAGCGTGTCACCTGGGACGGAGAGTTGAGTTGCTCCCCGAACTGGGCTGCCCCACGACATGCTGCATTTGGCCAAAGGCACTAGGCCTGCCACGCGGTTCACATGCTAAGCTCCTCATTAGTGCTTCACATTTGAGCGGCCTGCGAAAGGTCTGTTGTAAGGAACTCTTCCACCAACGTGCTTGCGCGAACCGGCGCGTAATGCAGGTTTTCGTGCGCGCTAAAATTCATTCGAGCTTCCCTACCGCACACCTTGCGCGCGGCTCATGCTTAGAAACACAATGCTTTCCTTACGCCCGCTTTTCCCGAAATCGCACACGCACACGTGCGCACGTACGCACGTGCGCGCGTGCATTTGTAAGGCCCAGCCAAGGTTTTGCCGTGCCTCAAAACCACATTAGTGGCACGAACTCATTTTTAGGGTGTTTGAGCCCCGGCCAAGAGTTTCCAGGAAAGCGAATTAGCCGCGCGCTCCATTTGCTACACAAAGTGCCTCAAAACTGCATCAGCGGCACGCACCAAAACAATTCAGGGTGTCTGAGCCCCTTCCACTGCCAAATGACTACCTGAAGCCACCAAGAGGACAGCGCGCAAACAATCCAAACCGCTTACGCGACAAAGTTACCTCTAAGAAAAGCTTGCGCGGCCTTACGGCCTTACGCCGACACGCGTTTGCACGCGGGAGCCCTTCTGACCACCCTCTTGCAATCGCAGTACAACTAGGGTTTGAACCCAGCTTATTTGCCAGCAAACAACCTGACTGGGGAGCTTTGCGAGCTCACTGCCCCTTGAGACATGCCGGTGCAAGAATGGTGAAGCGAGCAAAGCTTGGATACGAGATGCACAAAGATTTGGCAGCGCACATACAGGTTCCTCTTGCAAGCGCAAGACCTCATGAGTGTGATTCTTGATGGCTTGTCGCTTGTATTGAACTGCATTGAGGCAGTGCTGGTGTTGCTGGCGATTCTGGGGCGAAGTCTCTTGCCAGCAAGCTGCCATCAAGACAACAGCATCTATTGTACTGACCCAAGTTCAGGAGCGTTCACTGTGTCTGGCCAGCGTGCGTAGGTTGTCAGCGTCGCTTGCATCAGCCGCATCTCCAACATCACGAGTACTGCAATGACCAATTCTGAAAGCTACACTGGCCTTTCCTGGGCACCTCAACAATATCTGTTCCATCTCAGCTTTTGACCGGGAGGTTCACCTCTCTGGACTCAAGGTAACAAGACTGCCATTGCACCCAGGCGACTTTCCTTCCATCAATCCGCCACCCCATCGCCTAGCGAAGCCCCAGAAGGTGAGGTCGCGGGAGCACCTGGGCTCGGATAGCATCGAAAGACATCGGCATTGCCAGCTTTCCTCTTGGCATTGGTGGATGGTGGCCCCAAAATTCAACAGAACTGCGGACTCTGTGTGTGTGTGTACCTTCTTGCATCTGAATCTGTCAATGATCACAGCACGAATCATGCCCAGCTTGCGAACCGGAGAACTGAGTGAAGGTTCACCCTCAAGACTCGCTCACCCACAGAGAAACATAATTGTATCCCAGAAACAGGCGAGCAGTATATACCGAAGAGGGGTTGCTTGGAAGCCGGAAGACATCGGTTGAAATGACTCAGACCCAGGAGATGGTGGTCATTCTATCCAGCACTAACCAACACAGTCCCTACTCCATCCTTGACTTTTTGTCATGTGTAAACAAACCACAGGGGAGTCACATTTTTGGCCGCAGGATGTTCACTCAAGGAAGTAGCGCGTCCCTTTTCCAGAATCTCTAGTGGACCGTGCCGGCTCAGGTCAG